GGGCTACTGTACCGGCTTTCTGGGTGAGCTGGGACACTGGGGGCAGCACGGGGGGCTCCCTGGTCTGAAGGAAATAGATCACGAGCAAGGTCAAGGCGTAGTTACTGAGCAGAGGGCCGCTCCCTGAGTGAACAGCCAACGATTCCGATTAGACGCCACCTGCCCCCTTTCCAGATCCTGGGCCTGCCTCCCCGCTGCCCTCGCCCCAGGGGCCCTCACCTGACAGCCCTCGACCCTGCGCCCAGCAGCGGACGGTGTACACCAGGGGCCGGACTCGCCCATCCAGCTCAGAGCAGAGGCTCAGGAAGCGGGAATTATGCAGAGCCAGCCTGGGCGGGGGAGACAGTGGGTCAGGGTTCAGGAGTCCCGTCACCCCCCTCCACTCCCCAGCTCTCTCTCACCCCCTGCTCTCATTCCAGACCTGCAGAACCAGGGCCCTGGGGAGGAAAGAGGCCAGGAGGGGGCTGCCCAGCGTGGTGGCCACAACACTGGTCTCAAGGGAAGATGCGCAGAAGGACAGCAAGCGAGCTTCGAAACCACTATGGCCTGTGTGCCCGGGCCCAGCGCTGGCAAGCTGCATGGGGCCCTGGTGCGTGTGCCAGGCAGGGGCCGGGAAGGAGATGGGGAGGGAGAGAAGGAGGAGGCAGAGAGGAACAGGGAGAGAAGAAACAGACCTCTCTTGTGTTTAACTTAGCACCTCCCAAACGTATTCAACCAGGAGACCCTTTCCACATCCCTTATAAATAACATTCCAAGAACACGCTTCAAGAACCCGGAAATGAATCGCAAAGGACCGGCTCAGGGGACAGTGACGTCACCTTGAAAAGAAGGCACTGCAATGATGAGCAGGAGCTCAGTGCCCGCCTGGGAGCGAGGGGGGGCCTCAGCAGGACACCCACCCAGAATGCTCGGCTGGCCTTGCCCCACCCACATCCCCGCACCCCAAGGTACCTGTTACTGAGGGAGACATCGCCATGGAGACCTGAAGGCCGATGACAGAACTTGACCACAGGTCGCCGGGCTGAGGGCACCGCCTGAACTCGGTACACCCCAGGCACACAGCCCCGCAGAATCGACCCCACCAGCTCCAGCATGGCGCCCCCCTCTGCTGACTCCCCCTTCAAGGTCTCTGCTTGGTCCAGAGACTTCCCCAGATCCTCCTCAGCCCTGTCCTCCTGAAGGGGGGAGGCGGGCGGCAGGGACTGGGGAGAGGCCAGGGTCTCCGAGGCCAAGGCCGAGTCTGGAGTCTGGGGCGCCAGGGAGAAGGAAGGGGTCTCAAAGTCCAGGGCTTCTGAGTCTTGGGGAGAAGCAGGCGGTGGTGAGCCTGGAGGGGAGGCTGGCATGCAGGCCAGGGCTTGAGGGTCCAGCGGGGAGGCCAGAGCCGAGTCCAGGGAAGGAGACTCCGGAGCCTTTGCTGCTGGCTGTGGGCAGGAAAGGGTCCAAATGAGTGCCTCCCTCCTGCCCCCACCGAACATAGCTATTTACAGGCTGTGGCGGATCACGTGCCAGGCCCCCTTCAGAGGGCTTTGCAGACCTGAGTGCACGCAAGCCTCACCGCCTCCCTCCTTTCACACGAAAAGTGGCCTTTTGACCCCACAAAGTAAGGGGCCCGGGTCCTTCAACAGCCCCTGTGTCACAAAAACCGAGCGGGGCGAGGAGTTGTTCTAGGTCAAAGGCCGACAGAGACAGCGCAGCAGTCCACCGTGGAGGCCGCTGCAGGCCGGACCCCTCCAGTGTGACGGCGGCCCATGGGCTTGCACTCGGATCCGGGTCCAGGGAGCACACACTGGCATACAAGGGGTAAAGGGCATGTGTACCAGCTCTCTCCTAACGGCTCAAGAAAGATGGGGGCAACGGTGAACGTGTGGGTGTGAATGATACCCGAAGGGGGGGGAGACCCTTCTCATTCTAGAACCAGTAGCCCTGGTGGTTCAGTGGCTGCTGGCTGAAAGGCCAGTGATTTGAACCCACCACTCTGAGGGCGACAATGGGGCAGTCTGCTTAGGTAAAGATGAACCCCAAGGCCACAGCCATCGAACCAATTCCAATTCACGGGAAGGGAGCGTACGCGGGCAAACTCTCAACATCCACACGTTAAGGAGTCGGAGGGCGGGGAAACCTTCACGTTTGTGGGTTGGAGATGTGTCCCACTTGCATTCTCCTATGTAAAACTTAATCCCCACGATGTCCCCCCATAATAATGCCAAATTTAAGGTGCTACTTGCAAGCCCATGGCTGCTACTGAGTATGCTTGAAAGTCAACTGCTTGAAGGTTGTCTGCCTGGAGGATGTCAGACACCTAAGGCCATTAGACCCGACAGACTCCCTGCTGATAAGGATCGTAGCTTGTGCCCCTAGAGAAGAGATCAGACACCCAAGGTCAAGCCAGCTCAGAGTCGACCAAGGTTAGGCTGCCATCTTGACTGAGAGCCACGCCCATCCTGTTACCTATGTGTCTTCCTGTCACATGTGTGCCCCTAGCACAGCCCCGAATGTGCGCACACCCCTAGCTGCACCCCCTCCTGTTACGTGTATGCCTATGGTACAGCCCTTCCTGTGCTGTCTGTGCTCACTGTGGCCTGCTTGCCCGAGATGAAGCTACTCTCTTCCAACCATCCTAGACCCAGTCCTTGTGAGGAGGCGGGTCCCCTCATGGCTTCCAATCGATCTTTACAGAAGCAGGAGCTGTGTTTTCTGCAGCATGCAGATTCCCTTTCTGTAACTGACTGTGAACGGACATTGTCCAGCAGCCCTGTAGGCTTTCCAAGCTGCACTCCTCTGTGGCTGCAGCCCGGGGCAGGGTGCTCGAGGAGGCCTGGCTGCCAACGGGCAAGTTGGCGCGCTGAGTCCCACAGCCGCTCCACAGGAGAAAGGCGGGGCCTACGGCCAAGCATCCAACCCCGAACTCGCCTTATTGTGAATCTTTATAGAAGACGAAGGTCAGACAACATGACCTTTGTGAAGGCTGGTTTGTGTGTTTGCCCCTGTTACAGACTCTCACGTCTCAATTCCTCTGCACCCACAGTCAAGTTTCTCCACAATCACCTTTCAGGTGGACCCCGGGAGCCCCCTTACAGAGCCCATGCCCACCCAGTGCCTCATCACTAAACCCTCCGCCCTCCCCCCCCCAGGGACTCTCCCCACTGCTGCCTCCCACTCACCAAAGGCTCTTGCAAGTTCCCCAAGTCCAGGAAGAGGTCGAGGTCACAGCCGTGGACGTCAAAGCTGTTTATGGATGAGCCGAAAGGATGGACCACACAACCTGGGTGTGGAGCAGAGGATCATGGGTCGGGAAGATGGGGAAGCAGCAGGGGTGGAAGCACACACTGCCCCCAGACCCACTGCGGCCAACTCGGTCCTGCCTAAAGGGCCCTCGAGTAGGAGCCCTGGTGGTGTGGTGGTGACGAGTGGGGCTGCCATCAGCATGGTTGGCAATTCAAGACCCCTGGCGGCTCCTGTACACAGTTCCGGTCTTGGAGGCCCACAGGGGACTCGCAATGAATGGCAGCCAGCGAGTAGAGTGTGAGCAGGACGGCTCCGCTGTGCTTCCAGCCCTCCTCTTGAGGGGGAGGCTGCCCTACCTTCCTCCTGCAGGGCCGCTGCCTGCTCCAAACAGCCTGCTTTCTGCTTGGCGGCCAAGCCCTGACCAGGGCACCAGCCAATCCCCCAAAACCCACTGCCGTCACATGGATTCTCACAGCGAACCCTCCAAGGCAAAGCACTGCCCCTGTGGGTTTCCAAGGCTGTGAGTTTTTCTGGGACTGATCTTTCTCCTGTGGGGCAGCTGCAGGGTTTGAACCACTGACTTTTTAGTTAGCAGCTGAGGGCTTAACCACTGTGCCACAAAGGCTCCAGAGCTAGTGGGCAGGCAGCCCTGGCTAGGGGAGGCCTGGGGCTGCAGGCGCGGGGAGAGAGGGACGGGGCGCGGCACTCACCTGGGAAGAACTCAGTGAAGACCTCCTGCATGAGGGCCACCACCAGGCTCCGGAGCTGCCGCTCGGCCTCAGACAACTCCCTCAGCCCCACCAGCTTCACCATCTGGGCCCCCACGTCCGGTGCCTCGGCCAGTGCTCTGGCCAGCTGGTGACTGTCAGGCGCTGCCCCTTTGGGGGACTTGGCAGCTGGGCTCTGGAACTCCTTCTGCTCCCGGGGCCGGACCCTGAGGCGACGTCCCCCCAGGCTGTGCTGGGGCTGGGACAGGACGGCCTCCTGGGCAGCCACGTCCCCCATCTCCACGATGGCAAACACCCCCTGGCAAATCACAATGGGACAGGGAGTTCTCAAGAATTAGGCCCCTGTGCTTGCTGTTTTGCTAACAGAACCTGCAGAAAAGCACCTCTCTCCCCCCAACCGCACCCCCCAATCTGCCGCAGGAAAAGGCTCTCTGCTCCTGCCCATGATGGCACTTTCCCTGGGTAGGCTCTGACCCGCTGCCTGGCTGTTCCTGGTTAGCCAGGACCTTTGGGCACTGACTCCGAATCCACGTGGAGAGCACTGTGCTGCCATCCTCGGGAGCACTCGCCCCGATCTTCAGGGGGCTCGGCATGTGGGAGGGCCGTGGCCACCATGCTCCTGGGATTTGGCAGCGTTCCATGATGGCCACTGGACCTTTTATTTAATTTCTTAAGACAGAAGCAAGAAGCATATGACTCCATTTTGGGGTGAATGTCCATTCTTTTATATCCTGTCCGATGGTAAAGCTGAGGCCACAGGCTGCTTATACCAAGGTGTCCCCGACAGCCATCAAAAGAGCCCTGGTGGCATGTGACTTAGGTGCTTGCCTGTTAACCTCAAAGTCATTGGTTCATACCCACCAGCTGCCCGTTGGGAGAAGGATGCGGTTGCCCCCTCTTGTAACAACTTAGTCTCAGAGTCCCTAGGTAGGGCTGACATGAATGGGGAGCCACCCGATGGCAGTGGGCCAGTCATCAAGGCAGTGTGGTATTGGTATAAAGATGGGTATCTAGACCAAAAGAATGGGATTTGTTCAGAAATAAACCTATAAATAATGATAAACTAACTGCAGACAAGGTGCCAAGGCAATTCAATGGTGAGAGAACAGTCTTCTCAGCACGTGGTCCTAAGATAATGGAGAGCCATGCAAAAGAACTCAACGCCATTCCACAAAATTTAACTCAAATGGACCAAAAGTTAAAATCATAACTCTTAAAAGAAATTTCAAAACCAAACCCACTGCCAGCGTGCCAATTCCTACCCTAGGGGACAGAGTAGAACTGCTCGTTAGGGTTTCTGAGAATGTGACTCTTGAGGGAGTAGACAGCCTCATTGTTCTCCCAAGGTGGGTTTGAACCACCAACCTTCCAGTTAGCAGCCCAGTATTCCGACCCACGGGGCCCCCTTAGAAGAAAACGCAGTTGTAAATCTGTGTGACTTTGTATTAGGCAAAAGGACCCCGGCTTAAGCACCAGGGGCGCTAACAGCGAGGCTGGCCAGACCCACCAGCCCCTCCAAGGGGAAAGAAGGTGCTGTCAAGACTTAGTCTCAAACCCCGAAAGGGCAGCTCTCTCTCATCCCAGTTCCCTGTGTCAGAAGTGACCCGCGGTACCCAGTTTCTACCGAGGATGCTTGAATCCCAAGCCACCCAAGAAAAATACAGGCAACCTGGACTTCATGAAAGTCAAAGCCTTTTCACGAAAAGGAATGAGGTGCTGACACGTGCAACCATGTCACGCCCACAACATGTG